TAATATGATGGTTTGGGATGTTCAGTGTGATATACACACACAGATCTATCAACAAATTAAAAAACATGTATTATATTTGTGGAGGAAGCATGGAAATTTACATCATGCTAATTTAGTAGAGGTGATAAACATTACCATTGAAATCTACCTGATGACTTTTAAACATACACAGGCGCCAAGGATCCAAGTGCAACTGATTATGACTAGTTATAATCAGATACGTACAGATTAGAGATGCATGCACCAACATCTCAGTGTTAGTAGCAAAAACAATGAGTCTTTCTGCAAGGAACAATATATTCCAAAATGAAATGGAGATCTTTTTTAAAGGTTAAAAACTCATTCAATTTTATGTCTTACAGGGCTTATACTGAGTTCAATATTGTATAGCTGTATTAATTCAACTGTGAACCCAGAAACTTGCAGCTACTTGTGAAAACACTCTTGCTCTGGAGTGTGTCACTGAATATGTTAAAGCTGTAATGAAATGCTTCTTCTAATCATGTAGTTATTAAAAATAAAAAGTAAGTGATTGAAAAGAGATATGAAAGAAAATAATAAAATATTTTCCATATTCTTTTAACTTTATACACTATAAAGTACATGTTCATCAAAATTTTTAGGTTCACAGTTGAATTAATACAGTTATACAATATTGAACTCAGTATAAACCCTGTAAGACATAAAATTGAATGAGTTTTTAACCTTTAAAGATCTCTATTTCATTTTAAAATACACTGTTTCCTACATTTTTAATGCTACTAATGCTTAGATGTTTGCACATGTGCCTTAATCTCTGTGTATCTGATTATTACTAGTCACAGTTGGTTACACTTGGATCCTTGGCACCTGAGTATGGATATAATGTCCTCAGGTAGATTTCAGAGGTAATGTTTATCACCTCTACTAGTTAACATGAAGTAAATTTTTATGCTTCCTCTTCGCGTTTTATTTTTTCTTTTTAATTTGTTTGTTTGTGTGTGTTTGTGTGTGTGTTCGTATCTCATATAGACTATCGCACACAATCTTATTCATCTATATATCCATTTCCCAAATGGCACCCTCCCATAGCCTCCTCCTCTCCGGAGCTCATATACTCTTTCACTCCTGTTACTGTTCAGTGTGTTGTCGACGCCCCCAGCCATTCTCCAGTGCTTGTCCATCCGCTGAATCTAGTCAGCCTACCTAGAGATCCTTGTTTTAGGAAGGTCAGCTGTTCCTCATCTAGCAGCAATCAGTTGTCAATATTCCTTTAGATAAGATTGGGGTCGACAGCAGAGAATCTTTAGAAGCTTCAGATAATTAAATAGAAGCGAGTATGAAAAGTGTAGAAATCTTTTAATGTACTCTATTTTTTAAATCCATTTTAGACAAATTATTTTATTATTGTATGTGTTTATCTGTGTTTTGGTCATGGCAGAGTAACTTTATTGTTTCTCTTGAATCTTGCATTCTCTTTAATGTAATATAAGTTTAAACAAAATTATGAATGTTTGCAATGATGGATAATCTAAGTATTGAGTGGATTATTAACACAGTATATTAGTATACTAGAACACCATGCTCTACCTTTTAAAAGCACATATCTTATCTAATAACATTTTTGTATTTACATGAGGTCAATGATCACCCTTTCCTCTTCTATCTTTGTCTTTTATCCTCATTTTACCCTTGTTTGTTGTGTTGAAGAAAATACACTTTACTAGCTAAGAATGGAATTTTGTTACACGGATAGCACACAATCAATAATTTGGCTTAAATGCCCAAGTATGCCAGAGAGATGTTTCCATATTCTGTATGTATAGAGAATCAAATAACCTTCTTGCCTGTGTGGGAATATATATATATATTTGCTGGACTAGGGTACTGGCGATCCTACCTGGCCTTGTGTATGCTAGGGAATTGCTCTATCGTTGAGCAACGTTACCTGCGCTTTTATGTTCTTATTTTGAGTCAAGGCCTTGCTATGTAGCCCAGGCTTGCTTTGAACTCATGCTTCCCCTGTCTGAGCCTCCTGAATAGCCAGGGTAGGAGAATTACGAATTCACATAAGAGCAGGGAGTGCAGTGTGACAGAGGCATCATTGGAAATGAGAGGGCTGAGGGATGACTTCTCCGGTGTGCACACACACAGTCCAGCTTCATATTCTCTATTTCAAGTGGTGTTTGCACTCAGTCATTTGCAAGGAAACATGGCTCTTAAAGACTATGTGGAAATGGATTTGTTCAGGGAAGACTTGTCTCTTACAGGAAGAATTTCCTAGTGTCATACTGAAATTTGGGGGACGTTGATCACAGGATCACTTTGCAAAACTTTTCCATCCAGACTCCAAAATTAAAACTATTCCATTGAGAATACAGAGAATAGTGTAGGTCATGTTACATTAAACCTGGTTGGACTTTGGAAAATGAAATGCCCTATTTTTATGCATTGCTAATATAAACAAGCTTGTGACTGCTTTCTGAAAATTGTAGGCAACGTCACAGTGTATAGCTTCTAGTGCATTTAGATGAGCACTCTGTTTTTAGAATCGTTCAGAGAAAAGGGCATCATTTAATTTATGGTTTTGCATCTGTAAGAAAGAGACGGTTTATGTTTCATAGCTGTTTTCATTTTAGCTTTATTAAATTTCCCTTGGCAAGTATTGGTATTCCCATTTTGAAAAGAATGGAGCTGGCACCCAGGTTAAAGAGCTTGGGCTTCATTATGGAGATAACAGGACTAGAATTTGAACCCAGGTCTCTTAACTCCAAAGCCCTTTCTAATATTTCACCTTTCCTCCTTAATAGAACTCATAGTTGCAATGTCATTTTTAATTTCTGTTTCTCTGTCACTGAACATTTCCTTCTTGTTGTCTGAAATACTAAGTGAATTAAAAATCTGCATATCTGTGCTTTAGGAAAACTCAGCTTACTTGTTTAGGTCACTTACACACCTAGACCCTTGTTCCTCCATAATAAAGGTTAAAAAAGAGACAGAGGAGTTATGCTTTCCAGTGACTCATATCACCCTGTAGACAATTGGCAGAGGAGAGGGGCAGCTGCCACACTCTTCAGATATCTCTCTATTTAAAGTTCAAAGAGGTGCTGGATAACAATAAGAAAGAGAGACGTGTAGCCCTGACTAAGCCACTCAACAACAGGAATAATGGCAGAAAAAGGTAAGCTAGGAGACATCAGGTTCTCTTGGCAAAAACAGCTTCCACACTGGTTTATTCTTTTTCTTGGCATTTTAATTCTTAAGAATGTGAGATCCTTGCTAAAGAATCATCAGCTTCATATTTTAGTATGGCTGTAAAACAGGCATTAGATATGCAGTTTGTGGACCATGCCTTTAAGTTACGGATAACTTTGAAATAATTAGTGAAGCAGATTAATTTCATTGGTGCTCTTTTTGAAAGATGAGTTATAAACCAGTTATCTCCGAGTGTTGTACTGGATTTGAGATCTTGGGGGTTGTTGGACCAGAAGTAAGGACAGAAGGGTTCTGTGTGAGATCTGCTGAATGACCATGTGAATTTGGAGAAATCTCCCCATTTCTCAAAGTCATGACTGTCAAATGAGAATATTGAACTTAGTCATCTTTGACATGTTCCATAGCTAAATATTTTTTAATGTTTAAACATTTAAAAGTTAATGTCTGTATAAAATAATTGGCTCCCGTATGACAGAATTGACTGAATATATCTTTGTCTGAGAAGCAATTTTAAATACCCAGGAGTTTTTGCTTTCAATCATGACAACAACTTTGTGAGACATGCATGTTATCATTCCCATCTTACAGTTAAGGACATTGAAACATAGCAAAGGTTAATATGTGTCCACAATCACCAGGGAGCGGTGGCACCGGGCCTTGGATCTGGGCCGTGTTGCTTTGTAGTGCAGTGCCCTTAAGAACACTTCCAGCTGTAACCACCTTCGTATGCTCAGAACTGGACAAACAGTGAGCACTTTGAAATTGCTCTTTGCTTTTAAAGAGAAGTTTTGTTTTGGGGTTTTTATTTTATTTTATTTTTATTTTTTGGTCTTTTTGAGACAGGGTCTCCCTGGAGCCTGGAACTCACTATGTAGACCAGGCTGGCCTTGAACTCACAAAGATCTGCCTGCCTCTGCCTCCCAAGTGCTGGGATTAAAGGCGTGTGCCACCACGCCCGGCGAGAAGTTTTGTTTTCATTTGTTCTGTTAACATAAACACTGTATAAAATGTTGGCTTTCATGCATTACTATTTCCAAATGACATTTCAGATTATGGTAGAATTAAAAATATTAGTGTTAAAAGAACATCAGTGCAGTTATTTTTGGTAAAATGCACAGCCAGCTGAATTGTTTTATAAGGCATAGCAAGTAATGGGATATTTACATTTAGAGCTTAATGATATGTAAATTTTATTAAAATAGGTGATGAAATTGTATTAAAATATGCTTGCCTAAAACAGTTATATTCAATTGAAATACGAGTATTAATTTTCAAGTTGTTTTAAATTGACAGAGATACTGTGCCACTTACATGAACAGTTTAAAAAATTACTGTCATGTAATTTCAGTCTAATAGCACCTCAATTCATAAAAAAATCTTTCTTCCAAATGAGACTAAAGTGTGTCTTACAATGTTTGTTTTACACTTAAGGCAATAGCTCATGGCAGGTAAGGAGAAGATTTTTTTTTTCTTTAGTGCTTAATGCCTTGTTCAAGGTCACAGTGAGACGGAGAAGCAAGGAAAACCCATTTGTCAAGAATGATTTCAACATTTTCTGGAAAAGACTGAAAGTATGAAAATTCATTTAAACTTCAGAAAGTTTGCTATTATGAAAGTGTCTTCTAATTTTAGAAGTACCTCATCTCCCGATGACTTTAATAGCTTCAAAAACCCTTCACATTTTAAAGTGATGGAAATTGTAGTAGGAATACAATTGCTAAAAACATGCATTCTCCTCCTTAGCTCATATCATATGGTCTAATTGTGGTTTTCAATTAAGAATATGTTTTGGTATTTAACACAGATGACTGTATGTGCTGTGTTTGGGTTGAATCTTTTGTGTGAGGTGTTTGTATATGTGTTTACTTGAAAGAACAAGATTGAGAAATAAGTATTACAAAAAGCTATTTGTGTAAATTGCCTTTTACAGATCAGGAGACAAATAGGATGTGTAGGAAAAATGAGGTATACAAGTATGTTGTATTGTTATTTCCATAGATTCAAGTTCAGTGCTGGTTGTGACAGTGAACAAGTTTAAAGAAATAAAATCTCTTTTTTTCCTTTGAGAATGATTATGTAAGGTATGATGTTTTCATTTTTCTGTGAAATTTAAGATTAAAGTCAGTTATTGAGAGCAAGAATAATTCCCAAAACAATTTCCTGTGTTATGATTGACTTAGCTTATCAGGAATGACCTCACAGTTAGATTGGATTGTTGTTATGTAAGCAGTTGCTTTACCGATTATTGCATAAATGCATGGATATGTACTGTATGCACTAAACATAGGCACTGCGGTTAAAGTTTACAAAGCTTTGCTTACATAATATCATCTGATTCTGAAAACAGCCCGAGGAAGTAGATATCACAAGTTTTGTTACTTGTATTTTATAATAGGAATCTTCAAGTTTAGAATTGCACAAGGTTGCACATAATCATGAAAGGATGACCTGTGGTTTGAACCTGGGACTTCTAGTCCAAATATTCAGGGTTTATAATAGAATTGCAATGTGTCCACTGTAGAAAACAGAAGATAATTATGTGTGAGTTGGATTAGAGATTTCGTTTTTTGATTCATATGGTTTAATACCAAAATGATCTGCCTAATCCGTTTTTGTTTTTAAGCAGAGTCCACCCTATCACGTCTTACCGTTCCTATTCTTCTCCTGATTGGATGGATTGTTGGCTGCATCATAGTGATTTATGTTGTCTTCTCTTAGAAAAGTAAGAGCTCTGATAATGACTATGTTTATTCATCACATAAACTGCTCTGAAAATTATCCTTTATGTTTTACTAATGAAATATTTTGTCATTCAGGTGAGAAGACTTCAGATTGACACCATTTAGAAGAACTAAGAAAAACACAAACATGATCGATTATTAAAAGTGTCTCATGTTAAAGAGATGGAATGTTTTATATCATTTTGTACAGTTGGATTATAAGTTAGAGATTTGGTTTGTATAAGAATCTCTTTAGGGGCTGGAAAAATGACTCAGCAGTTAAGAGCACTGGTTGCTCTTGCAAAGGACCCGGGTTCGATTCCCGGCACCCAAATGGTGGTTAACAGCTGTTTGTTACTCCAGTTTCAGAGGAATCCATCCTCTCTGACTTCCATGTGCTTTGCATGATACGAGTGCACTTATATACATGGAGCAATAGCACTCATACACATGAAATAAAAATAATAAATAAAAATATTTTTTATAAAGAATCTCTTTAGAGCTGGGTGACTCAGTTAATCCTCTCTTGTAGAGGACCTGGGTTCCCACACTGAGGCTAACAATCATCTGTAACTCCATTTCCATGAGATCATATGTCTTTTCTGGACTCTGTGGGCACCAGGCATGTACATGGTACATATACATACATCCAGGCAAAACATTTATACATAAAAATATATTATTTTTAAAAAGAATCTCTTTAGGAGCTTGTCTGAAATTACAGATTAAAAAATCCTGTAAGAAAATTCAGGTGAATTTCTCTATGTCCAGAAAGTAGGAAATATATTCTTAACTGTGGCTAAAAACACAGAAGCACCAGGTCAGGTATGATAAATTTAATTAAATTAGAATATGTTTTGCTCCCTCCTTCTGAAATAGAAAAACAGACTAAAGAAAAGGCAACAAACAGAAAAGAAAAGGCAAATGAAAAGCATGGATCTTACCTGATGTTTGTAAAGAGAAGTGTAGTTTAAACCATATTGAAGAACATTTCTTACTTAGGTAATATGTAACTACATCTAATAACATGTGTGTTGATAAGGTTGTGGGGAATTAAGCACTCTCCTACCCTGTCTTTGCAAATTCAAATGGAACATTTTTTGTTGTTGTTTTTTGGAGACTGGGATCTTGCTATGTTGCCCAGGCTGGACTCAAGTGATCTTCTTGCCTCAGGCTCCTTGAGTAGCTAGGAATGGAGGAATGTACCACTTCGCTGAGCTAGGTCTGAGATTCTGGGGGCATATTTGGCAGTTAGTATCTGCCAAAATTATTTATTTATTTAACTTTTGAACCTGTTGTCTATCTTCAAAGAATATTTCAATTCCTATAGATACAGAGGCAAAGAAATTTGCATGCACAGGGGCCAGAATCAACTATGACAAGTATATATAATATAATAGTTATATAGCTATGGAAAAGAATGAAGAGACTCAATATTGATATGATGTGATCACAACAAGGTATTAATTGAAAAAGTCAGGTATACAACAATGTATACCCACCATTTGTGTAAAAAATTAAAGAGCTATGCCTATCTGCATGTATATTTTCTCATATTAAAATATTGGAATGGAGGAGACAAATGGAGGCTAGATATCTGTAACTGTACCTTGTTTCATAGTTTTCCATTTTTAGAATAATGTGATAATTTTGTAAGTGAAAATGAAAACCAATAATCTCCCAAATTTAAAACAAATAAAAAGAGATCTAATAGCACATTAAGTTGGTGACATAACCTGACAGAGAAAAACAAATCTTTCAAGTAACCTTAAAACATTGTATTTTTTTTTTTACTGTTTATCTCTTATGGGTTAGACAGTCTAAAAACTCATATTCAGTGGTCTTTTTCAAGTAATAATATTTATATTGTTGGTTTGAAAGCCAGACCATCCGTATAAATGTCAAATAAATGTATTTGGTAGTATTAAAATTGAATAGCAAATATTAGCATGAACTCACTATTTGTTTTCCTTGTTCTGAAAAGCAAATGTCTGTTCTAGCTCTGCCCACTGAAAAGTCTTCTAGAAACAAACAACCTCACTTCACTGCGTCTTTACTGAAAGGACTCAGAGATCCCTGCCTTCACCCGGGGCAGGACAAACACAAGTGGACTTGTTAGACGATGTCCATGTCCCTAGATCAATTTAACAGCGCTAAAAGTGTTACAACTAGACATGAGTACCTCCTGACAGGACATAGGGAAAATTCACAGGGACATCTAAGAAGTGTTTGTGCTGAAACCTTAAGTGAAGCAAGATTATGAGGGTGTTCAAAAGAAAATCATGATGGTAAATTCAGCCAAGTGTGGAATGTAGAAAACCATAAAAACACAGGACCCAGTTTTTACACAAAGAACTATGATTGCAGCTCTGTTCATAGCAGCCAGATTATGAAATCAGCCCATGTGTCTATAAACTGATGAATGGAGAGATAAAACGTGGCATATGCACAGCCAGTATTATTCAGCCATAAGGAGAATCGCAGTTATGTCATTTGCAGGAAAATGGATGGAACTGGAGATCATGGTAAGTGACATAAGCCAGATTCAGAAAGACATATATCACGTTTTCTAACACATATGGAATCTAAGTCCAGATTAAAAAATAAAGACATGGGGAAAAAAAAAGACATGGGGCTGATGAAACGGCTCATTGGGCAAAAGTGCTTGCCACCAACCATGATGATCCAGGACCCATATGGTAGAAGTAAACTGACCTCTGCAAGTTGTCCTCCAACTTCCACATACACACTATGACCACATACATACATATGTACAATAAATGAGTAATTTTTTTAAACTTTAAAAGATTGTAAGAGACATGGAAGTAGAAAAGAACCATTTGAGAAGAGAGTGAGACAATGAGAGAGAGAGAGAGAGAGCTGGGCCGAGAGAGGCTAGTTGGGAGTGGAATCGATCGACGTACATTACATTCATGAACATGTCTTACCGAAGCCCATATTTTGAGCAATAATCTATGCTAATAAATTATTTTTTCCAGAAACAAAAAGTAAAAAATTCAGACAGTCAAAACAAAAAGAAAGAGGGAAGGAAGGAAGCTAGGAAGGAAATAAAAAGAAAGAAACAGATAGAGGGAGCGAAGAAATGATTTCAGAGTGCAAGGTTATCAAGTGAATGCAGCGTATGGACCAACTCCACAAACACATTTTATATTTCTGTGATAAAGACATTAGCAAGTAATTAGTAATGTTCAGTGCAATAATGACAATTGGCAATAGAAAAGCAATCTGTTAGACATTCACACTGAAGTGCCTGGTGGGGAGACAATAGCGCTACCTTAATATATTCCCACAGAAAATAAACTGGAGAATATGAATAAGACGAACCAAATGTTGATACTTGTGGCAGCCAAGTGATGAGCTCATGAAGATTCATTACAGTCTTTGATCTAATTGTTTATATTTTTAAACATTTTTATACTTCTTTCTTTTTTCCCCTCGGTGTTGCTCTGTTATGAACTACAACTTAAACAAACAATAAATTAGAATAAAATAACATAAAATGAATTTTAGTTCTAGTCCTGAATCTCATCCCTGAAGATTCTGACCCAACAAGTGGGCCAGGATCCTACACTTCAGAAAAATGCTCCAAGGATTCTTACACATGCCAGCATTTGAAAACTGTTGTTTTGGAGAACTGGTCCTCAGACCTAGGGCTTCTTGCTGTCCCATGGTCTCATGGAGGCTTTAAAGCATGGAGGACTGGGTCTTGTTTTCAGTTTCTGATGCAGAGGAGCTGATGCTCTGAGACCTTAGTTTCTGTCGGGCTTCTGGATGACACTGAGGTTACTGAGAGCATACTGAAGCCTGGGCAGAGCCACTGCTCTGAAGGGACCACTTCTCCCCCCAGCTATAGCAGTCATTTCAATTAATTGTTCCACAAACACCATGGTTCTTATCAAAATGCTAGAGAACACTTTTGCTTTATGATTCTTATCCTTCCAACTTGAGGAAATACTCCAAAATGTCATCCTAATAATCCCATTTAAAGTCATTCTTAATGAAACGTAAGCAGAAAATGCTTAGAAAATTAGACTCAACTGATTTCCTTAATGACTTGACCTAATTATAGTTTTTTCTGGAATCAGAGGTTTCCCGGAACTACCTCTGATGGTCTTGGAAAAATAGATTACTAATATGTTCAGGAACTGTGTGAGTTGGTTGATGTCTCACTGTTCAGTGGAATGTCACTGCAGTGAACGCATATGCACACCAGAGACAAAGGCCTGAATTGTTTCCACAGGACAGCAAGCAACTGAGCATTTCCCAGCACACCATGGCTTGAATCATCTTGATTTCTCTGTTGTTCCTTTAGGCTTATCAGGACTTCAAGACCACTTACGTTTTATTAATATTCTACTGTGTTAATAAAAACAATAGTTTCTCCATTTTCCTGAGCTTACTGTGTTATAGAGGGTTTTTTTTTTTAACTTTTATTATTTGAGACAGGGTCATTGTAGCCTAGGTTGGCTTCAAACTCAGTATATAGCCAAAGATAGTTTTGAACTTCTACTCTACCTGCCTCCATCCCCCAAGTGATGAGATTAGGGCATGTAGTACTATGATGAGTTATATAGTGCTGGGAATTGAATCCACGGCTCTGTGCAAGGCAGTCAAACACTACAAATCGAGCTACACCTCCCGCTCCAATGTTATAGATTTTTAATTAGAAATCCATGAAGACTATTTGTAGTCTTCAAACCAAATTCAAGGTTTGAATTTGGTTTGAATATGAGCACAATTTTAGTGTGCTCATAGATCTGAAACCCACTGGAAAAGTGTCCTGACTTAAACAGCTCCTCCTCCCTTTTGATCTTCAGCTTCTTCACAACGTGGCTCTAGCTCTACTTGGAGTTAAAGACGCGGTCTCATACCTTAGCTGTCTTTTTAGCTAGAGATTAGTTTTCTCCCTTTTTAATGTTTATTTATTTTGCCCAGACGTGTGGGTATTTGTCAGTGTGCCACAGCACACGTGGGCAGATCAGAGTACAACTTGTAGAAGTGGTTCTCTCTTTCTACCATATGGGTCCTGAAGAGTGAACTCAGGTCATCAGTCTTGGTGGCAAATGCCTTTACCCACTGAGCTTTCTTGCTGGCCCCTCATTTTTTTCCTTTTAGAGGATATTTTTAAAATTATTATTATTACTTAAAATTTATTTTATTTTATATGTATGTGTGTGTGTCCATGTGTGTGTGCATGTGTGTGTGTGTGTAT